ATGTGGAGCATATTTTCATGTGTCTGTTGGCCATCTGAATTTCTTCTTTGGAGAAGTGTCTGTTCAGCTCTTCTGACCATTTTTTAATTGGATTATTTGCTTTTTGTTTGTTGAGGTGCATGAGCTCTTTATATATTTTGGATGTCAACCTTGTATCGGATCTGTCATTTATGAATATATTCTCCCGTACTGTAGGGTACCTTTTCCATTGGTGGTGTCCTTTGCTGTACAGAAGCTTTTCAGTTTGATGTAGTCCCACTTGTTCATTTTTGCTTTTGTTTCCCTTGCCCGGGGAGATATGTTCATGAAGTTGCTCATGTTTATGTCCAAGAGATTTTTGCCTATGTGTTTTTCTCAGAGTTTGATGGTTTCATGACTTACATTCGGGTCTTTGATCCATTTCGAATTTACTTTTGTGTATGGGGTTAGACAGTGATCCAGTTTCATTCTCTTACATGTAGCTGTCCAGTTTTGCCAACACCAGCTGTTGAAGAGGCTGTCATTTCCCCATTGTATGTCCATGGCTCCTTTATCATATATCAATTGACCATATATGTTTGGGTTAATATCTGGACTCTCTATTCTGTTCCTGTGGGTCCATGGCTCTGTTCTTGTGCCAGTACCAAATTGTCTTAATTACTGTGGCTTTGTAGTAGAGCTTGAAGTTGGGGAGCGTAACCCCCCCCACTTTATTCTTCCTTCTCAGGATTGCTTTGGCTATTCAGGGTCTTTTATCGTTCCATATGAATTTTAAAACTATTTGTTCCAGTTTATTGAGGAATGCTATTGGTATTTTGATAGGCATTGCATTGAATTTGTAGATTGCTTTAGGCAGGATGGCCATTTTGACAATATTAATTCTTCCTAGCCAAGAGCATGGGATGAGTTTCCATTTGTTAGTGTCCTCTTTAATTTCTCTTGGGAGTGTCTTATAGATTTCAGGGTATAGGTCTTCCACTTCCTTGGTTAGGTTTATTCCTAGGTATTTTATTCTTTTTGATACAATTGTGAATGGAATTGTTTTCCTGATTTCTCTTTCTGCTAGTTCATCCTTCTCTAGGCATTTTTAATCCAACGCTGAGAACCTGGTCAAGTAGACACTCTTTTTATTCCCATTTCACAGATGAGGGAACTGAGGCTCAGTGAGGCAAAGTGACTTGCCTAAGGCCACACAGCTAGGAAGGGGCCAAGCCAGGATTCAGCCTCAGAACTGGAGGTTCCCAACATTGTCATGGGCACTAAGGACTCTACTTTTATTTTATGAACTGGGCACAACATGAGCAGGGCTTGCACGGAGGAGGGAGTAACCTAAGACTGATTCTCAAAAGCTCAGGTTCGTATTTACTTAACAAACATATATATGACTGTCTTGCGCCAGGTACTACTCTAAGTGCTTTATAAATATTTGCTCACGTTACACTAATAGAGGACTCATGATTTAGGGCCTGTTGGGGTCTTGGCAGTAGAGACAAGAGCCGTGAGTATGGCTGATGTGGAAGCATGGGGCTCTGAACACAGAATCTCAGCTCTGTCCCTTGCTGTCCATATGACTGGGAAAGTCACTCCAATGCCCAGCTTCAATTTCCTCATCTTCAAAATGGGCCCATAAAGTACTTCAAACTGATAAAAGGATCAAGGAAGGCCAGTGGGTGTACTGGGTGGAGGAGCAGGGTGGTGGGAGCTGTGTGCCCATGCCTCTCTCTTTCTCTCTACCTCCCCCTGCAGCCACTGGTCCGAGAACCATGCCGCAGCTGTGCTGTGGTGTCCAGCTCTGGCCAGATGCTGGGCTCAGGCCTGGGTGCAAAGATTGACGGCGCTGAGTGTGTGCTGCGCATGAACCAGGCGCCCACTGTGGGCTTTGAGGCAGACGTGGGCCGGCGCAGCACCCTGCGCGTTGTCTCACACACGAGCGTGCCGCTGCTACTGCGCAACTACTCGCACTACTTCCGGCAGGCTCGAGACACGCTCTATGTGGTGTGGGGCCAGGGCAGGCACATGGACCGGGCGCTTGGCGGCCGCACCTACCGCATGCTGGTGCAGCTCACCCAGATGTACCCAGGCCTGCAGGTGTACACGTTCACCGAGCGCATGATGGCGTACTGTGACCAGGTCTTCCAGGACGAGACAGGCAAGAACCGGTGAGCCTGTGCCCTGCTGTGGAGGTCTCCCGGGTGGTGGCAGGGGTGGGGGCCTCCCTTCTGGAGGTGCTTATTGTCCATCAAGGCTGTGCTCTGCCAGGCACTGGGGGTCAGCAGTGATGGAGGCTGGTGTGGTCCTGTCCTCTAATGGGGGGCAGAAATCAGAGGGACTTCCATTCATCAAGTTATCACATAGATTGAGAATCCCAACTGGTGGTGAGGGGCATTAGGAGCTCTACGGGGGAGAGCGCTACAGTGAGGCAGGGTGTGGGTGTGGGACGGACGCTTCCCTCTTGAGGGGTGCTCCCCGAGATCTCAGCCAGTCTCTGAAGTCCTTCTGGATTTGAAAAAGCAGCAGTCACACGCTAACAGCCTCCTCAAGCACAGGCACCTGGTTAAGCACTCTGCACTCAAAATCTCTCATACCCCGCACCCACAGGAGCACTTCCGCGGAGGCCCCCTCTGTACCCTGGCCCCCCCCCCACCTCTTCCCAGCTCAGGAATCAATGCCACCAGCCTCTAGTTTTCCAACCAAGAACTTGGGCTCTGCCCCAGACTTCTTTTGTTCCATTCTCTGCCACCTGTGATGGGCTGCTGAATCTCCTCTGTGCCCATGTGTGCCCCCTTGACCTAAGCCACCACCCCCACACCCTGCCCTAGCAGCAGCCCTCTCTGATATCTCTGCTGCCACCCTGGTCACCACAGCCTGAGTGCCACCCACCCCAGTGAATTCATGCCATTAGCCACCTGCCCTCAATCCAACAAGTTCACTTCCCATGGATAATAAAGCTTAGACTTGCACCTCCACTGCCCTGGCCTACAGGCCTTGTGAGTTCTGGCCCCTACCTGACTCCATGACCTCATCTCCCTTTGCCCACTCTGCTCCAGCTATACTGGCCATATGGGCTTCCTCAGACACCCACCCTGGTTCCCACCTCTAGACCCCGACACATGCCATTCCCACTGCCTGGAATGCTCTTCCCCAAAATCTCCCCACGACTGACTCCTTTTTGCCATTCAGGTCTGGATGGAATGCCACCTGCCCAGAGAGGCCCTCCATGGCCACCCACTCTTTGCCCCCTTTCTTGTTTCCTCCCCTTCTCAGCAGTGCCCCTGCAGCTGCTCCCTCCTTTGGGAATGTGAGTGCTGGGTGCGACCTGCACGGGGCCTGGGAGGTGTTCAGTGTGAATGAATGAACCACCCACAGTCCCTCTGTAGAGGTGACGGCAAGGTGCCCTTGGCTGGGAGAGTCACTGGTGTTCTGCCTTGAGAGAGTTGAGGCCTGGGGTGGCCACACAGCCCCTTGCTCCAAGTTTAGTTGGGGAACCTGGGGAAGGTGCTGGGCTAACAGTGTTCCCTCCCCTTAACCACCTATAACCCCTGTTTCACAAATGGGTCTCTGAGGCTTAGAGAGGTTCATGAGCAAACCTGATACCCCAGAGCAGATTCAGAAGACCATCTGACCCCGTACAACCCTCTTCCCTACCTCGAACCACTGTGCTCTGCTGCCTCCTGCTGTCTCCCCAAGCTTGGTCCCTTGGGTGCAGGAGGATGTGGCAGGGCCCCCGCACCATCCTCTGGGGGTTTGCTCAAGCCCTGCATGGGTGCTGAGGAACTGAATAGACCTGGGTTTGCGTCAGCTGCACCTCATGCCTGCTGCTGGCTCTAGGCTGGCTCTGTCCCTTCCCCAGCCTCCTCCAGGGGCCCCTCGGTAGGGGTCAAGGTGAGGGCCCTGGTGGGGAGGGTCACCAGTGCTGTGCCTTGAGAGAGGAGAGGCTTGCTCCTAGCTGAGTGGGGAAGTGGCTGGCTAACTGTTCCCTGTCCCCACCAGGAGGCAGTCCGGCTCCTTTCTCAGTACAGGCTGGTTCACCATGATCCTGGCCCTGGAGCTGTGTGAGGAGATCGTGGTCTATGGAATGGTCAGCGACAGCTACTGCAGGTCAGGCCAGCCAGGCCCTGGGCCGGAGGGGAGCAGGGGGCTGGGAGGACTGTGGACTCCCTGTCCTGGCCCCACACTGGAGGGCCTAGGAGCTGTAGGGTGCAGGGTGTGTGGGTGTCTCGGTGGGTGGCCAAGGTGTTTGGTGCCGGGGAAGGAGCGCAGCCTCTGGAACAGGCTGGTTACGAGTCTCCAGGCTAGTTTGGCCCTGGGCTGGTCTCGCCACCTCCCAGAGCCTCCGTTTCCTTATGTGTAAAAGAGAGAAAGTAATGGCACCTTCCTTGGAAGGCTGTGGAAACACGGAGAATAAACTGGTAAAGTGCGTACCACGGCATTGGGCTGATAGAGATGTCAGTGATACAGTACATCCAAGTTTCTGCTTTGGAATTATTATATTTCAATATCATTATAACAAGTTCTGTTCTCTTTGGAACTTGTTTGTTGAGCACAGGATGAGGTTAGAGGAGCCTGTATGCCCTCTGCCGGGCCAGGCCACCAGCGTGCCTGGTGCCAGTGAGTGGGTGGCTGGGCAGGGCTGGCAGTTCTGTGTCACGGGGGTGGGAGCCTCACCGTGAGCCCAGCACCAGCAAGGCCCTTCCCAGTCTTCACCCTTTTTCACATAGGGTCTCAGCCTGGAAGGTGGCTGTCACCATCCCCATTTTACAGATGGGTCATTGAGGCTCACAGGGGCATCTCTGGCCCAGAGCCAGCCTTGCCAGAGGCAGAGCTGGGGTTGAACCTGGCCTTTGGGATCTGTGGGCTGCCCTGCCCCTCCCTTCCGTCCTGGCCTTCCCCAGGACCAGGCATGGGCCTCCGTGGGCTCGTAGGAACCAGTGAGAGTTGGTCGTGGTAGGTGGCAGGTTTGGCGGCAGGCAGGCGCGTGCATCCTGTTGCCCCAAGCCTGTCCCTGTTCCCCATCCACAGGGAGCAGAGCCACCCCTCCGTGCCTTACCACTACTTTGAGAAGGGCCGGCTAGACGAGTGTCAGATGTACCTGGCACACGAACGGGCGCCCCGCAGCGCCCACCGCTTCATCACTGAGAAGGCTGTGTTCTCCCGCTGGGCCAAGAGAAGGCCCATCGTGTTCGCCCACCCGTCCTGGAGGACCCAGTAGCCCAGTCATCGACTGGTCGCACCGTCCTCACCAGGCCTCCGTTCCATCCACACTCCACCGAAAACATTTAATTTATGGATCCTGTCTCCTGCCACATGCCACGTGGACCTCAGGTCTCTTCCTGTCCTACCCTGGGGGTACTTGGAGCCATCTCAAGCCTCCGACTTGACGGGGAGGAGAAGGGACCCACAGCGATCTTTGCACCCTCCTCCCCACCCCTGCTCTCTGAGTAATCCAGATCTTTACTTTGGGGTTCATCCCACCTCTGAGTCTGTCCAGTGGCCTTTGCCTCTGGGGCTGATGGCCCCCAATTCACCAGCATCATGACCTTTGACCCTACACCTGCTCTTTGACCTTACACCAGCCCTGGTCCCTCCTCTCCACACTCCCCCATCCACCCACCTTTGGTGCCACACTTCCCAGGCTGGTTGCCCTCATCAGGGCCACCCAGAGCCTAGGGTTCGCTGGGCAAAGGGGCCTTTGAATTGTGACTGCCAGGGCCACCTCCGGAGTGTACGGGTAAACAGTGTTTTCTGGAAGCCTGTTTCAAGTGTGGTCATGTGTCTGGGGTGGGGATTGGGGGTGCTCTCCCTACCTCAATCCCATTACCTGTTGACGTGAGGGGAGGCCGAATCCCGGGGCCCCTCCCGAGACTGCCTGGCTCCCGGACATTTAAGCTGTCTGCATGATTCTTCCTCAGAAGCCTGCCTCCTTCCGCACCAGGTCAGGGGATCTGGCCCCCTGGAAGCACTTAGGAAACGCCCCAGCTCAGAGATTTCCTTGGGACCCCTGCCCTGCCCCTGGTGGGAGAATCTGAGGCCTCCTAGTGAAAGGACACAGCTCAGGATGGGAAGTAAATTCCTCCACCGCACGTCATCTGCCTGGTCCTTGGTCACATTCCAGGAACCTTGCCAGTTAAATTCCTTATTAACTCTGGAGTCGGTTATACTGCAAGAAAGGAAGGTGGGGGCCGCCCCAGGCTCTCTTTCCCTCATTTCTGTTGCCTTACCTGTGAAGTGGGACAAGCAGATCCACCAACAGACCGCAAGGGCTTGCTGCCCCTGACAGGTGAGAAGCCAGGGCTGAGCCACGATGCCATCCCAGGGCGAGAGCTGAGCCCGAGGTCCTAGGCGCTGCTCCAGAGGGCTGGAGAGAGCCCATGAGGGCTGCGCCTCCCTCCCTCCCCTCCCTCCCTCCTTCCTCTGGGGACCGGGACACTCAGGAGGACCAAGGCACAGGACCTCAGGCTCTCAGCTGGGAGGAGCCCTGGGGTCCTGGCTTCCAGCACCAGGGGTCGGGGCCCAGTTCACGGGCATCTGACCTGTGCAGTGCCCAGGGTCCTATACTTAGAATAACGCTCTGGTGTCAGACTTGAAATTACTAATGTATTTTTTTGATGAGCATCCAGACATTTTCATTTTGTACTGGACCCCACAAATTATGTAGCCAGTTGTGGCAGGGAGTTGGGGTGACTTCTCAGGAGTGGCTGGAGACCTGGTACTTGGCCCACACCTTGCCTCCCCCTACCCAGTACTGGCAGGCCCAGAGGCAATTCAGGTGTGGGAGGAAGGAGGAGTGCCCTGAGCTGGGAGGCAAGGAGCATTGCTGTGGGAGGGAGTGGGCTGGCTGCCAAGCCACAGCTACTGGCCTGGCAGGGGCGGGCCTCTCTGAGCAGGTGTGAAATAGAGGTAAGGGTGAGATGTAACCTGGCAGGCAGGGGGCTGGTGGGGGGAACTTGCTGGCTCGGAGAGAGGGCTCTGGAGTCAGGCCTGGCCTCATTCTGGTTCCACGTTGTGCTGGAGGGACACCAGCAAATTAGTGCCTCTTTCTAGGCCTGTTTCCTTATCTGTAAAGGGTATTAAAGTAGTTTCCACCTTCAAGAGATTGTACAAATTCAGAGGTGGCACCTGTGAAGTACCTGTCCCCAGGACTGGCACTTGATATTTGGGAGCCATCAATTTTAGTGGGTGGCCCTTCCTCACCTGGCTCTATCCTACTTGAGTGTGGCAGATGGCAGATGGGTACCAAGACCTCACCCCCCTTCAGCTTTGTCTCTGCTTACAGCCTCTCCTTGGTCTCCAAGGCTCAGGGGCTCCTGGTTCTCAAGGGATCCAACTCAACCCCCTCCCAGGAAGTTGTCTCCTCCTGCTGCCCCATCCCCTGGGAGATGCCGGCCCAGTGCACAGAGGTGCCTCTGTCCTGGCCCTGCCCCTGGGTTGGGTGTTTATTGCTGGGGTGGCCCAAATACTGTGTCCTGGGGTGGTGACCTGGCAGGAGTGATCCACAGCTACTTCCTCCAGGCAGATGAAGACGATCCCTGGCTGGTCTGGGACTCATTCAGGGCCTGCTGAAGCCTCTCAGAGGACCCCCTTCCCAGCCTCTGCAGTTCCTGCAGCTTCTAGGAGGTGAGTTGGGGGCAGGAGCCTCCTCAACCCAAAAGAGTGTCATGGTGTGGTTGGGGTGCTTTGCTGTGCAACCCTTCTGTGGGCATCTGTTTTTCTGTCCACACCCTGGCTCCTCTGTCCCCTCAGGTGGCCTGCTGGGGGTCCCACCTACTTCCTCCTGAGGCCAGAGGGGAAGTTAGGTAAGCCTCATAGACTGGAAGTATCTTAAGGGGCCTCTCTCCTCAGAAGGAACTTGGGGCCAGGCCAGTAACTCACACTCAAGCCTCTGTAGCCAGATGAGGAAAGGAACGTCTTCCAGGTACTGGTGGGCCCTGCATCCAGTGTCACTGGGACTGGCCGGACCACTCCAGCTCTGTCCGTGAAGAACCAGGCTCCAGTTCCAGATCCACTGTCCAGGTCTTGAGAACTGGCACTTGCGGAGCAACTACTTTGTGCAGACCCTCACCTGAAGTGGCTTTTACCCCCTCTCTCCAGGGGCCCGTCCCTTGGACTCCTTCTCTGCCCAGAGGGAGAGAGGCTGGAGTCTCCAGGCCTGGCTCTCACCCTGGCTCTGCCTAGGATCTTTGGGGCATCTTGGGTAAATCCTGTCCCCCTCTATGGGCCTTCGTTTCAGTCTCTGTAAATTGAGAGCTGGGGTGGCAGGTGAAGGGGTTTCTGAGGGCTCTTTCCAGGACCCTGTGGAAGGAAAAAATTGTTAATGGTGCAAAGACTGCTAAGGGGGTAAGGTGGAGGGGTTACATCCAGGATCCACCCTGGGGCAGGAAGGGCTTAAGCAGAGGCCATCTCTCCCAGATTACGGGGCAGCGACTCAGGGCGAGGACAAGCCCCAAGCCGGGTCAAGGAGTAGCACCAATATTGGCCAGGCTACCCATCCATGAAGGCCCTGGTGCGGGTGTGGGGCAGGCCTGGGGCTTTGGGGGAGAACAGCTTGTGGGTTATTCAGCAGGCAGGCCTGGGGAAATCCCAGCTCAGTGTGCCTCACTCCTTCCTCCCTCTGGAAAGTAGGGCTGAAGTAGTACCCATCTCATAGGTTATTTTAAAGATTCAGTGATGTGTGTCTGCAAAGTGCTTAGCACAAGAGAAAGCACTGGACACATAGGAGCTGTTGTTTTCCTTAATCCTCATCATTGTTTGCGTGGTTGTTCTTGGGGCCAGGAAAGGAAAGCTGCTCTAATGCAGAGCCTCCGGGAGTAATCCTGGCCTGCAGACATGGGATGCCTAAAGAGGAAGCTCCCTGAGCTGGGTTGCTCCACCCTCTTACTTGCAAGTCCAGGTCATTGGCCTGGGCAGGGAGAAGGGCTGGGGACAGGATGCCCCCACCCTGATACAGCCTCCAACCTGCCCGCTAATCTCAGGTACGGAGCTCCCCTTTCTGAGCCCCCAGGTGTTGGGTTCACCAGGCTTCCTGCCTGACTGCACTGTCCCTTTCTCTGTGGTTTTCTGTCCGGTGGCCAGTGGTCCCAGGCAGAGGGACAGGAATCTGGAATCCACCTTTGGCCCTCCCCACTCCTCCCAACTGCCTGGTGGGCAGTGTCTCCACAGCCTGGAGGCTGGACCTTGGGGGCTTTTTGAGTTCTGTTTTAATTAAAAACGAACTGATACTAAACAAATTAGTCCAGGGCAAGCAACCTGGAAGCTTATATAGAACAAAAAGGGAAGATACTGCACCCACCCCTTCTGCACATCCGCATCACACAAACTACTGCCAGTGGTGCCATGTGGATTCTTCCAGACACCTGTGTATGCATTTACAAACACTTATACATAGGTAGTTGTACTTTTTAAAAAAAGGAATCATGCTGTATGTGATTTTTTATAAAGTATATCAAGTTAACCATATCATTAAAAATTTATACTTTTTTTAACTAAAAATGTTTTTGAATATGAACACAACATATGACCATTATCTTAAACTCTTTGGAAAATACTGTTAAGCCTAAAGAAAAATGGCAGCATCTAATCTCATCCTTCCAGAACTAACCACTATTAGTCACTGTGATAGGCAAGAGGTATCTCATTTTCATTTTATCTTGCCTCATTTTTTCATTTTACTTTTTAAATACTGTGATACACACAAATGACAGCATGTACCGTACTGTTAAGTTATAAAAAAATACTATAATGTACCTCTTGAACTCAGGCTCCACCTAAAGACCAGACCTGTTACTGGAACTGCACACCTGTGTTCCCTCCCCTCCTTCCGCATCCCTGTCTCCCCCACTGAGATAACTATTCTTGACTTTTGCCTTTAAAACTTTAATCACTCTGATACACAAAAGCTGTCTCCTGTCCCTTGCTATGACAGGTGGCCTACTGCCCTGTCTGCTTAAACAATATATTGTACATTTTGTCTTTCTCATTCCTCAGGTCCCTAAGATCCACTCACGTAATTGTAGCTCATTCATTTTCCCTGCTATATGATATTCCACACCGAGACTGCACCACGATGTAAAAAAGCCCTGCTGATGATCCTATGGGCTGTTTCCAGTTCTTTATTTCAAGTAATGCTGCTATGAACTCTGTTATGTACATGTGCAAGAATTTCCCGGGGTATTTTCCCAGGAATGGAAAGCACATTTTTATAACTTCATTTTCCAAAATGATCATAGGGATGCAGTTCTTTAACTTGCTTCCTTCCCATAAATACCCTGGACATCTCTTCCTGTCAGTAGATATTGATCTGCATTATGCATTTTTGTGTGGCTTGTGCCTTTATTTAACCAGGCCCCAATCACCGCTGCTGAAGCTGTTATTTTTCATTATCACATAAAATGATTTAATGAATATCCCTGTAACTGAAAGAAGCGACATAACATTTTCAGGCTTCACAATACGCTATGAGGTTGCTCTTCCTATTTTCTGTAGGCAGGGTTAGGGTAGATGTGCTGAGCTCGCACAGCTGGTAGATGGCGGAGCTGGACTTAAATCCAGAGGTGGAGCCCTGAATTCACCCACGGTGACTGGGTGCAGGGCTCTGGAGGCCCGGGCAGGGGGACCCAGGGAGAAACTCAACCAGTTCCAAGTGCAGCGTTCTCTGAGACTCAGTTTCCCCATCCCTGTCGTGGTGACAATAAAGCGAGATAGAAGTGGGCCTTTCCTACACTAACGGGCTCCGGAAGGCTGTATGTTCGTTCTCAGCCCGGGAAAGACCGCCCAGAGGAATACACAACGTGTTCCCTAGGCCGGGGCCGGGGCTCCTGCCCCACCACCCTTCCCCGCCGGCACCGCCCCGGGGCGGAGCCACCTCGGACCCTCGAGGCTCCACCCGCCTCCCAGGCCTGGGCCTGAGGTGCTGACGGCGGCGCTAGGACCCGGCGGGCTGGGGCTGCGGCGGGGCCTGGGCGGCCTGCGGAGCGCGGACCCGGCTCCGGTCTCCCGGAGCCATGTGAGGGGGCGCGGGGGCCGCGGGGGGCCGGGCGCTCCCCGGGCGAGGTGAGCGGGCGCCGCGCGGGGGCGGGGGCTCCGGGGCTTCCCTAGACCCCGCTCACTCTTGGCAACCGCGCCCGGAGATCCCGGTGCCCGAGCCGAAGGGCTGTCTCGGGGTTCACGGGGGCCCCCTGCCGCTGACTTCCCCATTAGAGCTTGGGATTCTGCCGCCGTCCTGCTTCCCATCTCTTCCCAGTTAGGACCAGGGCTCCGGACCCCCAGGAAGACGGGAATTGGGGAGGGAGGGGTGTCAGCGCAAAGGGGGAGCAGAGGGTGAGTCGCTCCCACCCCCAGGTGGTCCCACCGGCGCGGCGCCCCTTCTCCTAGCCCTCCTCCCACGCAGGAGGGCTCCCTGGGCTGGGGGAGGCAAAGCCCCCAGAGAGAGGGCAGGGGTGGCCCCCACCCTTAGCCCACAGGCTCAGCCGTCCTGCATCCCCCGCCCTGGTACTGGTCCCACCACGTTCCTGGACCTGGGCTCTGGGCTGCCCCCTCCCCAGCCTGGGCTCGTCGCTGCCCGACAGGCCTGCTCGCCGGTACCGGTCCAGGTGCTGGGCCAACACTCCGTGCCTCTGGCTCCTTATGGCCCATGTGGGTCCTCCGGAAAGATCCCGTCAGGCTCAGCCCGTGCCGAGGGGCTGCCCCCTGTAAACAAGGCTCCCCGGCAGTCTCTGGGCAGCCACGCAAGGCACTCTGCCTCTCCGGACCTCAGTCTTCTTATCTGTGAAATGGGGAATAAGAGCCCTTGCCACGCAGCGTTGCCTGGAAGGTCTTTGAATGGTGATACGTGGCATGGCTCCCTGCACGCTTTCCTTGACATTCAAGTCGCTCTCTAGGTGTCAGCGGCGGAGGTAGTATTTCACTGGCAAACTCATGGTGAGAGGGGCCTTGACCAATGAATAACCATAAGACTAACAGCTGCTGGCACTGACTGGGCACTGTGAAGCCCCATCTGCTTGAATCCTTTCAATAACCTTGTGAGTTACACTTATTATTCCCATTTCGCAGATGAGGAAACTGAGACTCAGAGAGGCCACATGGCTTGCCCGAGGCCCCTCAGCCAGTAAGTGGTGGAGCTCTTCACACTCGAGCCTGAGAAGCTGTACTGACCATGGCCTCCTCAGAGCAGGATGGTGACGGGGCTGACCAGGGGGACGGTGGTCCTGGCTGAGGGCACTGCTGAGGCAAAGGTGGGAAAGTCTGGGTGGGCCTGGGAACTGGAGTGCTCTAGTGCGTCTGGAGCAGGGGGCATCTGAAGAAAGGGGTAGGGAGAGGGCAGGCTCAATTCAGAGGCAGAGGGACCTCGGAGGGCCTGGGACGCCAGAAGCGTCAGGGCTGACGGGCGCCATCCTGGGATTCTGGACTCCTGGCTCTTCCCTGACAGGCTGAATCCAAGGACAGGGCTCTCTTTCTTTCTGATGAGCCTGTTTCCTGATCTGTACCTCGGGTACTGGACCCAATGAGGTACCAGGCCTTATGGACAGGCCTTGAGGGCCGGCCTGGAGAAATCTGAAACTGGGCTGGGGAAGGGGGAGAGCTCTGGCGGAGAGGGGGCGGGGTTGGGCAGTGGGTGGGGTCATGACCTAACCAATCAGGAGCGGCATGTGGGGAGAGCCTCCTCGGGTCTGAGGTTCTTGTGGCTATTCTGGTGGCAGTGTGGGAGTAAACAACAGTTAGGTCAAGGGGCAGAGAGAGTGGTGGCTGCTGGGAGGCCCCTGGAGGGGAGCACTGAGCTGGGGAGCCTCTGGGCTCCAGTTTTTCCCGTTGCACGTTCTCGGCCCCTAGGGTCTTCTGGCCTTAAGTCTGCTGGAGGGGGCCGGACACAAGTACTTACCCCCTTTCGGCAGGTGCCAAAATTGAGATCTGGAGAGGAGCTGGGTCCTGCAAAGATGGGGGTCACTTGGGGAGAGAGCAGCAGAGCTGCCTTGTCACTGAGCAGCCGAGGTTGCTGGGTCTGGGCAGGGAGGAAGGGCTGCCTACGGCTGCATCATCCCCTAGCCCCTGCTCCAGAGGGTGGGATGCAATTGTAGCCACTTGATAGATGAGTCTGTGCCCTTAACCCCAAGACCTTACTTGTTTATGATGAAGTCATCCAGAGATCCGTCTGCACAGCTCTGCAGGCAGTGTGCGGCTCTGCAGACAAGGTTCTCTCACTGCCCTCAGAGAGCTTCCAGCCTGGGGGCGAGGTGACCCACAGGGGAAGTGCCTGGCCCACCACAGGCTTAGAGGATGAGTGGGCGTGAGCAGGGTGCAGGAGGACAGGGTATCCCAGGCAGAGGGGACAGTTTTTGTAAGTCCTGGAAGCGTGTTGAGTGCAGAGGAGTTTGGGGACCTATAAGGAATGTTGCGTTATTCTGGGAACACAGAGATTTAAGGCAGTACTTAGAATAGGGTGTGAATGGGGTTCCTTCTGGGTTGGGGGCAGGCCTGCCAACTGCATAGGAGAGCCAGGGTGTGGGGAGGCCCCTGCTCAGGGAGCAGAGTGGGAGAGAGCAAGGGCCCAGGAGAGAGGCAAGGCTGTGGGACCTGAGGCAGGTTCCTGCCCTTTCTGGACTTCAGTGTCTCCATTTGCAAAATAGATATGGCCCTGAGCTGTGAAGTCAGGGGTGGGTAGGAGGGCTGGTAGAGGTAGGGAGGGTGTAGACTTTGCCCAGCTGGACTGAGGGGAGGGTGCCCAGGCTATAACCCTTTCTGTGGCTTTCAGGTATAACCCCACATCCCTGCCCCCTGGGCCACCTGCAGCCCGCTGGAGAGAGATGAGTAGCAACAAAGTAAGTTCCCCTTCATTTCCTCTGCCCTCCCCCCCCAGTCTCTTACTTCCTCTGTGAAATGGGCTCCTTTAGACCTGCCTCAGATCCAGGCCACCATGGCTATCTTCCCCACCGGGAAGCAGCTGATGCCTGGGAGGCCCTGGTTTCAGACCTGCTCTGGCCACTGATCCATGTGGCTTTGGGCAAGCTCCTGCTCTGGTCCCAGGTCCACCTCTGTCCTCCTGAGCATGGCAGGTCCATCCCGTAGTGAAGGGCTGGCTGAGAAGGTGACTGTGGAGTACTGTGTAGGGGGTGGGGATGTGGAGGTGGAGGTCAAAGGGAGGCTGGGGCAGGAGGCATTGGTCAGTGTCAAAGATGACAGAATGTTGTGAGCATCGCTCTGAGTGTGGCAGGATTCCCCATCATCCATTCGTTCGTGTTTTCGTGAGCACCTACTGTGTGCCTGACCCTGCTCACCCCTTCTCTAGGGTCAACTCTCTGCAGTCTTGGCAGAGCCTGAGGATTGGGAGTGGGGTAATGTGGGTGTATCAGTCTGGGTCCAGTTGGGAGAAAGAAACCACACAGTAATTTGAACAGGGAAAGTGTAATATAAAGAATTACTAACAAGAAACAGGCACTGGAGTAACAAGGGATTGGAATTCTGAGGAATACAGAAACAGCAGGTGCGAGAGCTGCCACCACCCCCAGGGCTGAGATCAGGCTGTGCTGCAGAGGGCACAGCTTTGCCCCACTGGATGGCAGCAGAGTGGTGCTCTGCTGGTGGAAATTGTCATGAATCCACCCTCAAGGAGGGCTGTTCACAGATTACTCCCAGGACACACTCCAAGTTCTGGACAGAACTGCCCCAGGGAGGGGCAGCTTATGGTCTCTGGGTGTTACAGATGGCTGAGTGCACTGCAGGAGCTGAACTCCAGAGAAAGCACGGTCATCAGGAGCCAGAGGCACTCTTCTCCAAAACCGCCTGAAGGTGGTGCCGGAGGAGGCTGCTGAGTGCAGCACAGTGCTGGCCACTGGCCTCTGGAGCGGGCGCGTGTTGGAGAAGCCATGGACGCTGAAGCACGTGCACCAGACCAGGTGCAAAGCCCACAGAACCAGGAAGAAAACTCCTTCCTTCTGGCAACGTCTCTCCAGTGCCCTCTACTGACAAAGCTTAAAATGCAGTTACCTGGCAAAGAAAAACATGTAGAGGGCCCAGATCCACTGTCACAGAGCAGACAAGGGGTATGAACTGGAGCTGAGAAGCAGCACAGGGGGTTCAACACAAGGAGCTAGGATTCCCAGGTCTCGCCTAACCTTGCAGACCCTGGGCAAATAAATCTCAGCGGATACTTTGGATATCAGTTTCCTGCCCCATCAGCCACATATTGTTGCACCAACTACCCACACATCCCAATTCCTGACCAGATCCATCCCCTTTAAGTCTGAGTGGTAGACATTTATGGAGAGTTACTGTTAGGGGGAAGACCTGATGCTGTCACTTGGATGCCCCACCTGCATCCAGGTATCCTTCCAGCTGCAGCTGGAGGGGTCCTTCCGACACCCACTTCCAGGCCAGTCCAGCAAATCCTCCCTGAGAACTCCAGGCCCTGCCCAGGGATCTGGATATGCCGGGGATGGCTGCCGACTCAGTCCCAGGCTTTGGAGCTCAGGGTCTAATTGGGGGGCCCACAGTTTAGATGTGTGTGATGGGGCAGTGATGGGGGATGTTCAGGGGGCTGGAGGAGGTAGTGCCTGGGCTGGTCTGGAGTGAAGAACGGAAGTTAGCCAGGCGTGGTGGGGGGCAGGGGTGGCTGGGCCCTCACCGGCCTCTCCCTCTCCAGGAGCAGCGGTCAGCAGTGTTCGTGATCCTCTTTGCTCTCATCACCATCCTCATCCTCTACAGCTCCAACAGCGCCAGTGAGGTCTTCCATTACGGCTCCCTGCGGGGCCGCAGCCGCCGGCCTGCCGACCTCAAGAAGTGGGGCATCGCTGACGGCTATGTCCCCATTCTTGGCAACAAGGTAGAGTGGAACTTCAGGCAATGCCCCGCACCCATCTGGCAGGCGGTCCTCCCTGTCACCCTCCATCCGTGCTCCCACCACGTCCTCCTGCTCCAGCTCTCCTCTCTGCTACCTCCAGCTCATTCCCCCTAAAGGTGAGGGTGGACCCTGGGAGTCCAGGCCCTGGCCTCCAGTGCTCAGCCCCTTGTTTGCTGTGTGGCCTGTGCCCTGTCCCTGTCTGGGCCTCAGTTCTCTGCAAGGTCCCACCCTTAGTGCTAATATCCTACCATCTCCTGAGTCAGAATCCCTTTGGAAAGGTGTTTGGTTTTCTCTGATCTCTTTCTCTGCTGCTGAGTGTGCACAGAGCTGGGGAACAGGATGGGGTACTTGACCGCACAAACATAGTAACAATAATGGCTGCCCTTGGCCAGTTGCCTGTTGTGTGCTGGGCACTGTGATCAGCAGTCATCCTCACACCAACTCTGTGAGGTCAGCAATGTTCTCTCTCTGGAAGAGAGGGCGAAACTGAGGCTCAGAGAGGTGAAACCACTTGTCCAAGGCCACACAGCAAGGACGGGTGGAACCAGGGTACTGCCTGACCCCTGCTGAGTTGCAGCTGTGTCAACAGGCCAGAAGTCATTTCTGGGGCTACTGTTTGCCTTGAGTAGCCATGAAACTCAGGTTGTATTTCTGGGGTCACCCTGTAGTCCTCTAAGCCTTAATTGTTTTCCCTGGGGTCAGGAAGAAAATTACTGGCCTCAAGCATGGACTTCACATTCTAGGAGGAGGAGGGCTCTCCAAGTCCCTGCCGACCTCTCTGTCCTCCCTCACTAACCCCCTAAAATCTGTCAGGGTCTTTGCATACACAGTGTGTAGAACCTGAGGCTCTGAACATACCCTCACAGGGAAAGGGCACATTAGGTGTTAGAGACAGAACAACACTTAACTGAGACTTCCTCTATCCTGAGAAGCCCTGGAAGGGAAATAAAAATGGCAGAACTGGGAGAAAGTGGAGCGGCTTGACTGTGGGTGATCTGGAGGGAAGACGCAGCAGAGCTTGGCTGGTAGCTGTTTCTAGTCTGACAGGAGGCCAGAAAAACAGAGCTCAAGGAAGGTAGAAAAGCCGTCAGTGGAGGTACATGGGACATGTTGCTGGATCTTAAGAGTAAGTTGAGGGAAGGCTGCCTGGAGGAAGTGGCACCTGAGCTTAGCCTTGAAGGGTGAAAGGCCATTCCATGGGCAGAACATAGGCCTGAGAGAGCATGTGGTTCCAACCCATCCATTTCACTATTGGGGAAACAGAGGCCCAGAGTGGCTTCTACCCCTTCCTTATTGACAAGGTATCTTGTTTGTGGGTGATATGGAAATGTCCTCAGTGCATTGGGGTGGGTGTCCCCTTTGGGGAGCTGGGTGAGGCTGAGGCTCTGTGGCCACATGCACTGGGTTCAAATCCCAGCCCCACACTCTGCTGTGTGACCTGGGAGACATCCCTGCATGGCTGTCCTGTTCTTTTCCTTAACTCTGCACCAACCGAGTGGCCTTCTTTTCCTTCTCAACCAGCCACGGTCACTCCCACTTCAGAGCCTCTGGTCTCTCTGGCTTTCCTGCCTTGAGTACTTTTCCCTGTGTGGTTCCTTTTCATCCTTCAGGTTTCAGCTTAGAGAGGCCTCCCCAGATGACCTGTCTAGGGTAGCCCCATTCCCGTCACTCTTGATTTCATTTTCTTCCTAGCATGCTTTACTTACCACCTGGTCTATTTTATCTTTTACTTGTTCACTGTCTGTCTCCCCAGCTGTGAGCTTCTTAAAGGCAGGAACAGCATCTCTTTGCTCTTTGCTCTTTCCCTAGTACTTGGTCTTTAGCCAGCTCGCTGTAAATATTTGTTGAATGTTGAATGAATGGGTTTGTGTTTCTGTCTTTAAAATGGGCATAATAATTCCTGTCTCCTGGAGCCTGGTGTATGGAGCACCGGGCCTGGCACTGAGCGATCATGACAATGTTGACTTTCCTTGCTCCCCTCAGACACTGCCCTCCCGGTGCCACCAGTGTGTGATTGTCACCAGCTCTAGCCACCTGCTGGGCACCAAGCTGGGCCCTGAGATCGAGCGGGCCGAGTGCACAATCCGTATGAACGATGCGCCCACCACGGGCTACTCAGCCGATGTGGGTAACAAGACCACCTTCCGTGTAGTGGCCCATTCCAGCGTATTCCGTGTGCTGCGAAGGCCCCAGGAGTTCGTCAACCGGACCCCTGAAACCATATTCATCTTCTGGGGCCCCCCAAACAAGATGCAGAAGCCCCAGGGCAGCCTCGTGCGTGTCATCCAGCGGGCAGGCCTGGTGTTCCCCAATATGGAGGCCTATGCTGTCTCTCCCAGCCGCATGCGCCAATTTGACGACCTCTTCCGGGGTGAGACAGGCAAGGACAGGTACCAGCCTCCTGCCTGCCTCCTTTGACCAGCCCTATGCTCTCCATCAGCATGCTCTGCCCAGAGGGCCTGTTGCTCCCAGCATGCACTGCTCTGAGGGTGTGGTCACTTTTTGCCACCCTCTGGTTAGGTTCCTATAGGAGTTCTCTTTATGTCCAGCTCTTAGCATGAGTCTTTTCCAACATGCTCTGCATGGCCTTTTCTCCCCAGAAGGGTTTCCTCCCAGTGTGCATTGCTCTGAGGGAACAAGAGCTCCCAGCATGCTCTGCTCTAGGTTGCACACTCACTCCTGGCATCTTTTTAGGAGAACTCCCGTAATGTGTGTGCCTCCTGGAAAGTGTTGCTTGTCTTCCAGCACGTTTTGCTTTAAGCATGCAGTTGTTCCCAGCATGCTTCATTCTAAGGATATGTCATTCCCAGCATGTCTTGCTCTGACTAATCTTCCTAGAAAAGCTAGGCCAGTGCTGTCCAATAGACATATAATGCAAGCCATATATGTAATTAAAGTTTTTATAGCAGCCAGTTTAGAAAGGTAAAAAAAAAAAGTAAAATTAATTTTAATGTATTTATTTAACCCAGCATGTCCAACATATAGATCTTATACATATTTTGTTTGATTTATACCTAAATACTTAAAACTTATTAGACCTATTATAAATGGTATTTAAACATTTTTTTCAGGTTTCTAATTATTCATTGCTAGTACAGAGAAATGTTTGATTTTTGTGTGTTGACCTTCTATCCTATAATCCTGTTAAACTTATTTTTTCTAGGAGATTTTTGTAGGTTCTTTGGGATTTTCTATACAGATGATCATGTTAAAAGGACATGGCAGTCAAAGACAGTTTTATTTCTTCCTTTCCAGTCTTTATGCCTCTTATTTATTTTTCTTGCCTTATTGCACTTGCTAGAACTTTCAAAACAAAGTCAAATTATAGTGGAAGTGATGAGAATAGACACCCTTGCTTTGGTCCCAGTTTTAAGGGGAAAGCATTCAGTCATTCCTCATTGTTATGATGTCAGTATGCTGTTAGCTGTAGGGTTTTTAGCTGCCCTTTATCAGGCTGAGGAAGTTCCTGACTCTTACTAATTTACTAAAAGTTTTCATCGTTACTGGATATTGAATTTTATCAGATGTTTTTCTGTATCAGTTGATATGGTCATGTGGTTTTCCTTAAGATTGTTAATAGGGTGGTTTATTAAATATTGGATCAGCCTTGCACTTCTGGAATAAACTCTACTTAGTTGTGGCATATATTCTTTTTATATATTGCTGGATACAATTTGCTAATATTTTGTTGAGGTTTTCTGTGTCTGTGTTCATGAGAGATAGCAGTCTATAATTTTTTTTGTTACTGTCTTTGCCTGGTTTTGGTATCAAGGTAATGCTGGCCTCAGAAAATGAATTGGGACATGTTTCTTCTATTTTCTGGAAGAGATTGTATAGAATTGGTGTTATTTCTTCTTTAAGTGTTTGGTAGAATTTGCCAGTGAAACCATCTGGTCCTAGGTAGGTTTTTTTTTTTCCCAGAAGATTTTGAACTATGAGTTCAATTTCTTTAATAGTTACAGGATATTCAGGTTACCTATTTCATCTTGGGTGAGTTTTGGTAGTTCATGATTTTCGAGGAATTGGCCCATTTCATCTAAGTTGTCAAATTTATGTATGTGTTGTTTGTGGTTTTCTTATTATCCCTTTAATGTCTACAGGGTCTGTGATGATATTCTCTTTTACTCTTGATATTGGTAACTTGTGTTTTTTTCTCTATTTTTGTCAGTCTTCTGAGAAGTTTATTTTCTTCTGAAACTTTTCAAAGAACCACCTTCAATCAAACATACCCAAAATATTTTCAGTTCAACATGCAATTAATGTAAAAAAATTATCAGTGACAGACTCTACATTCTTTTTTCATTCTATGAAATCCGGTGTGTATTTTATACTGACAGCACATTTCAACCACATGTGAGGTGTTGCATGTGCACACGTGTGGCTAGTGGTGCTCTAGTGGGCAGCACAGCTCTAGGTTCTTGGCTAGTTCTTCTATGCCTTGCTCTGCTCTTCGGGACACTCTCAGCATGCCCTTCTCTCATTAGTCTCCCCTTAGGAATTTGCTCCTCGAATGGGCACAGCTGCTTCTAACAAGCTCTGCGGGTCACTCTCAGCCTGCTCATCTGTGACTTGTCTCCTTAGGAGTTTATCCCCAGTATGCCCTGTTCCTTTAAAGGAGCTCTCCCAAGTGCCTCATTTCTGCCCAGACAAGCCCTCTGCCAGCATGCCGGGGCTCCTGCAGTGGGGCTGGACTGGGGGAACTGAAGTTGGGGGAGGGCCCTGATGGGTGCTGGGAGGAGTTCAGGGAGACTCCTGCCCACCACACCCCTGCCAGCAGGCCCCTTCAGGATGGCCCCTCTCCTACTCTAGGGAAAAGTCCCATTCGTGGTTGAGCACCGGCTGGTTCACCATGGTGATTGCGGTGGAGCTGTGTGACCATGTGCATGTCTATGGCATGGTCCCCCCCAACTACTGCAGGTGAGCACCCCCAGGACACCACCCAGCCACTGGCCACAAGAGGAACTGGGAGCCTGGAAACTTTGCCCGGGGGTGCCTTTGAGCGCGTCTGTTTTGTGGTATTCCAACTGCTGTGCAGAGACCTGGGCCCCTTGGAGCTACCTCAGGAGCCTCCACTGTAACTCAGCCAGAGGCCCGAGTTTGCATATTAATAATAACTACTATTACTATTATGTGAAAAGCCCACCAGGTGACAGCTCTTCTTTATGAGTGCTGACCAGGCACCAAGCATGGCTACATTTTTTTATCTCATTTACTCCTCACAGTGACACTAATGAGTAGGTACATTATTCTCCCCATTTCATAGGAAGGAAAACTGAGGACAATGTTCTGTGAGTGGCCTAAGTTCCCACAGAAAGAGGTGGGGCCAGGCTCCAAGCCCATGGTCTTTACCACTACCCTATACTGCCACCCTCTCAGGGCAAGGAAACATTTCCACTACATTAAAAAAAGTTTTATCATCACAAACCTAGTCCCTCCTGTATCCCTTTTACAGATGGGGAGCCTGAGCCCCAGAGAGGGGCTGAGATTTCCCTTACTCATATACAATAGCAAGTCAGGGGCTGGGCAGGGCAAGGGCCCCACCAGGGCCCACCCTGCCCTTACGCCGCATCTGCTCTGCCCCAGCCAGCAGCCCCGCCTGCAGCGCATGCCGTACCACTACTATGAGCCCAAGGGGCCGGATGAGTGTGTCACCTACATCCAGAACGAGCACAGCCGCAAGGGCAACCACCACCGCTTCATCACTGAGAAGAGGGTCTTCTCATCCTGGGCCCAGCTGTATGGAATCACCTTCTCCCACCCCTCCTGGACCTAGGCTGCCCTGCCTGTGGGGCTCTTAGGGACAAGGAGACGGGCTTTCCACTCAGCCACTCAACCAGGGGCCATCGTCTGGCCTGTGGAGGCTGGCCGGAGTGTCTTCTGGCCAATCTGGGCCTTGTAGAAGACTTACCCTCCAGCCAGTGAGGGCTGGGGGGTGTCTCTTGACCAATCAGGGATTTGGGCTTCTATGTGGTTAATCGGGGTGTTAGGGTACTTCTTGTCCAGTCAGGGTCTAAGCATAGTCAATCAGGGTATTTCTGAGTAATCTGGGGCTAAGGACATGTCCTTTCTCTTGAGGCCTTGGTTCAGGGCCCCAGGGTGGACCCCAGATCACTCCCTATTAGCTGGGACACTGGGGTCCCATCCCGAGCAGCTGGGAACTTCATGTGGCCCCTTCACTCCCCAGAGCTAAGAGGAGGTTGCGTGAGGGTGGGAGCTGTCTGGAGGCCGGGCTGGGGCATTGTTGGGGTTGTGGGGGTTCCGGAGGTGGGAGGTCGGCATCTGGGTCCTGGCTCTGCCCCGAGTGGCCTTGGACAAACCCCTTGCCCCCTCTGTCACCCTTCTGCCTGTGTCAGGTTCTAATGTGGAGTCTGAGACCCCCTCCCACCTCCCCCACTGATAGCCTGGGGTCTGTCCCCACAAGGAAAGACTGGGCCCTTCCAGCACCAGCCCTTGCTGGGGGACTCAGCTTCCCTAAGGCCTGGGGTTCCCTTCCCCACTGCCTCCTGGAAACATAAGGGTGTTTTTGTGCAGACACTCCCAGGGTTTGGGAGACTCTGGCAGGAACCCGAAGCAGCTGTTTTCTTAGCCCCTCCACCCAGCTGCCCCTTGCTTGGCTCTTGAAGAGCCAGGCCCCCTTTTCTGTCATCAGCAGTGAGGCTTTCCACCTGTCAGAGGAGCCTTTGGGGCTGAGAAAGGGGAAACCCAGCCAAATGTGGTTTCATGCAGCCCCTTTGTCTGCAATTGCTGGAGTCTTCCAAGGGTCTCCCCAAACTGGGCCTGGGAAGGCTCCAGGGGTTTAGGAGCTGTGCCACCTGGGTTCTGTCCCCTCACTCAACATCAGGCACTTTATTGCTGGGCCTCAGTGGGCTGGGTTTGCCCCCCTGCTCTTCCAGAGCCTGGAAGGAAAACTGGAGGGCTTCCTGGAGAAGGCTGTGGAGTGGGAGGGGTCAGGTGGAGGAGGGGGAGGCCAGTAGCAGCCATTGCACACTGGAATGGGGCGGGGTGGGCCTGCCACTGCCCCAGAGTTGGTTTTGTATGATTTGTACAGGAATAAATGCATCTAAGCTCTGGCTGTGGTTCCTGAGTCTCCCGGATGCCCCCTCTGGCCCAGTGCTGTGGGCTTCCTCAGGACAGCACCCACATCCTCCAGGCTGGGCGCCCACAGGCCAGTGAATCATACATTTTGTGGCTTGGGTGGAGACCTGGCAGCTCTGGAGGCTGGGGGGTATGGACTCCCGAGCCAGGCTTACCTGGCTTTTCCAGTCCTGCCTTCCCCTGCCTCTGTGACCTCTGGCGAGTCACTTCACCTCCGAGAGCCCCAGTTCCCTCTTGGGCAGGACAGGACCAGACACGGCTCCCAAGCTCAATGTGCAGGGAGGTGGGCCCGGGCAGGTTCTGTCCCAGTGTGACCACCAAGGGCGGTAAGGGCTACGAGGACAGTCACACGGGACAACAGCACGGCGTGCCTTGAGGTGAAGGACCAAGAGGTTTGAGGGAAGAGCTCCCAGCGGGAAGAGAAGAGCCAGGGGGAAGCGGAGGAGCCGGAGGTGAGTGGGAAGCAGCTGGCGGGGCCTTGGAGGAGGCCAGTAGAGCGGATCGAGTGAGGGGAGGGCAGCCCGGGCCAGAGGACGGCCCCAGGGCCTGGAAGTGCTGGGGGCAGGGAGCCACAATTACTGCAGGGCCAGCAGGAAAGAGGAAGGCGGGGCTGCTGCCATGGGAGGGGTGGACTCCTCATGGCCGCCAAACTCAGCGAAAGAAAGGGCTTGTTTACTCCAGGTTGGCAGGAGGGAGAGGGCCTGTGACTCTGGGAGATTACAACTGTTTAGGCCGATAAGATGCCCAGGGGAGCAGAGGCCTAACAAAGGGTGGCTGTCCGAGACAGGGGCAGACGGTCTGCCGGGGACATGGGGCAAGAGCTGTCCCTGGGCACTGGGCCAGCAGGATGGTGGGCCACAGAGCTGGGAGGCGAGAAGGGCACCTGCGTTTGCCTCTCAGTTCGAGTATACATTCAAGAAACAGGTAGCCGAGTACCATGGGCTGCATTGCGTGCGATGGATGAGGGAGGGAATGTCAGATGGGAAGAATGGCCTGAACAGAGGCCTGGTCAGGGGACCGTGGGCTTGCTTGGTACGCAGTGAGGCCACAGAAGGAGGCAGCAGTGGGAGACGAGAGCACCTGGGGCCAGCATGAGGGGACAAAGCCTCCCTCCTTCTTGCTTGAAGAGCAATCTTGCTTGACAGCAGCAGGACGGGGAGGCTGGGAGATCGCAGGACCCAGGTGCAGGGCCAACCAGACAGTAGTGCTGGTGGTGGTGGGCATGTCAGAGGGACAGGGACCCCTTGCAAGGTCGTTACGTGGGGAGCCTAAGGGCCTGCATGGGAGTTGGGTGTGGGAGTATAGCACACTTCCAGCCCCACGCTAAGGCGTCCGGGACTCTGGACCCAGGCAGAAGTTTCTAGGTAGGATTCCTTCCAGAATGCCTGGCTCTTCCGTATGCCCACTGGTGGGCATGAAGGAAGGTACAGTAGGAGGGTGTCAAGAGGGGTGGGCTGCTGGGAGTGGACCCTGGGGAAGTTCAGTTTGGCATCCAGAGGAAGGACTTCGGTGGAGAATGCCGAGTGGAGGAAGCCTGGGTACTAGTCCTCAAAACCCACAAACTCCCACCCTTCAGATGGCGCCCAGGAGTGACCAGTCCACTCATTGTCCTAAAGCCACCGCATCAGGGTCCTCTTTGTTCTGAAACCTTCACTGGCTTCCTACAGTGGCCAGGACCAAGTCCACCTCCTCATTTGGGCTTTAGGGCCCCCTGCCCCCCTGTGGATCCCTCCCACGCCCCCGGCAAGGCCCTGTGTGCTGGGGCACAGATCCAGCCCCAGACCTCAGAGAGAGGCTGCCCGCCCCATGTGCATCCCCAACGCTGCCTGGTTTTCAAGCCTCCGATTTCTTTCTTAACCAATATACTTTTAAACTGTTTCAAAAATCGGTTTCATTTTAGGTGCTTATGTTTTTAGATGTTATAAAATAACTTAAACCATACCAACCATAAAAGATAGCAAGCGAGGTCATTGCCCAGTCCTATTCCCTGTGAAATCTGGTATAATCTATCATTTTTCCTTCATGCAATTTTTTTCTTCTCCTTTCTCCCTTCCCTCCTTCCATTCTTCCCCCCTGCTCTTCCTCTCTCCCTCTTTTTTTTTGTTTCTTTAGGTTCTAGCTGGGAAGAAAAGTCCTGAAACAGTGGTATCCCAGCATTGGTGGGAAATCCATAGGTCGAATGCAAATGAAATAATTAAAATAGGTACTCAAATGCAGAAATTTGGTTGGTTGGAAAGCTAATGAAACCTCCAACTTGCAAAATTGTGTTTTTCACACTGAAATATGGTTAAGACTCAAATGCAGAATAAAACAGGTACTTATAATAGCTTTTTCTCAGCTTTTAAGATTTTTAAATTTCTTTTTTATCTTGGCACAAAACACATAAGATTTACCCCGTTTTTCAGTGTGCAGTTTAGGAGTGTTAAGTATATTTACATTGGTGTGAAACAGATCTTCAGAACTTTTTCATCCTGCATATCTGAAACTCTATAATAAACAGCTCTGAATTCCCCCTCCCCCAGCCCCTGATAACCACCATTCTCCTTTCTGTCTCTATGAATTTGACCACTTTAGATACTTCTTGTAAGTAGAATCATACAATATTTGTCTTTTTGTGACTGACTTATTTCACTTAGCATAATGTCTTCAAGGTACATCTGTTTTAAAATTGTTATATTTATAAGGCAATAGATGGCCTGTGTTTGTACTTTTTTAAAGCCTGGGAAGGCTTTAAGTAAGAAGTGAAAGTCCAGCCCCAAAGGGATCATGTGTACACATCTACCCTCTCAGTTCTGCTTTATTTCATTAACTTTAAGATACCATCAATTTGATTATATGATAGCGTGATTTCAGAGATTTTTTTTTTAACTCCAGGGTAGATTCTATGCGCCCCTGCGCATAATTCTATGATTAGAATTATTTTCACAGAGGCGGATAAGACCAGCAAGTCGGGCTTTGCCTGTTTCTCTTGCCCCACTGGCCTCGCAGAGCCCTGGCTTCCTTCCTCGGGCTACCTCCCTGCCCTCCCTGCACCACACTCCCTCCCATCAGGCAGTCCCGTTGACGCTAGAGAACCATCCTGTACACGTTTTGTGCCTACACGTGGGATTTCTAAAAGTAGAAGGACACGTTTGAAATTTTGGTTGACATCATCAATTTGCTTTCCCCGAAGGTTATGCCCGTGCACACAAGTACCGACAGCTTTCTGAGAGGAACAACTTCTAAGGCAGAAAGTCTGACCCAGCACCCACCCCTCCCTCATAGGGGGAGCTAAGCTCCCAAATATAAGGACCTTGTCTCATGTCACAGGTGGCAGAGCTGGGACTGGACCCAGGGCCACTGGCATCCTGGCTGCTGTTATTGCTAAGAAACCACCCACCTAAGGTGGTCTCACTCTGCTGGTGATCTCACTCTCCTGCTCAACAACTTTCCATGGCTCCCTAGTGCCTACAAGACAAATTCTACATTCAACCCACCCCACCATCTGGGGTCACTGCCTTCAGGGACATGAGGGGGTCTCGTGGTCAAGTGCATGAGTTCGGAAGGTGCATGGTCCTGGTCTCTGCCCTGCTGTGTTACTGACTTTGTGCCCATCTCCGTGGACAAACAGTTAACTGTCTACCTAGGACCCTCAGGCAAACTATTTTACAGGCGTGACCTGCACTTTCCTTCATGGTTAAGGATTCACAGACATGGTGTGACTCCAGTGCTCCAGCCAGTGCTTGGCGCACAGTGAATGCTCATTTATGGGAGCTGTTCTTTTTATTGGGATTATTCCCTGTTGGGTACCCACAGCATTCTCAATGTCCCACGTCCTCATTGGGAATGCTGGCAGCTCCATTGGGGCAGGGCTGGTTTTTTATAATCTTCTACACCACCACCAGCTGGAGGATGGGTACAGGGGTGGCCTTTGGGGTCCTGGGGAGTTTCAGTCCCAGGGGAATTCTCTGGCACCTTCCAACAGGAGAGGAGAAGTTCCAGGTGGATCTTGGCCCAGGGGCCTCTGGGCAGGGTCTGAGGAGGGCTGGGAGACTGGTCCGGCCAGCGGAGTCCCCAAGACCCATGCCTTGGTCCCCTCCCTCCCTCCCTCCATCTGGCCTCTCTCTGCCATCAATTTGCTGTAGGATTTTGTGCAAAGAGCCTCTCCTGGGCCTCAGTTTCTCCAGTTGTAATTCAGGACGACTGGTCCCATTCTCTTGGAGTGATGTGGGCACAATGGAGGTAATGCAGAAATGGAAAACCCTCAGCAAACTGTGAAGTGCGGTGCACAGCCACCTGGGAGTACACGGTGCAGGACTAAGGTCTTGCTCTGGCTTCCCATCAGGGCTCCGCTCTGGCCGGCGCCCCCTCCCTTCCTGGTCCGCTCTCCTACTTCCCTCCCTCCCTGCCTGCCCTCTCGGAGCGCTGGAGCGCTGGCTCCCGGCATGCTGCGCGCCGCTGACAGCCTTATAAATAGTCGCCTTTGCAGGCGGCTGGCGAGGACAGGCAGGGCACCACCGGCCCGGGCGCCCACCCACACACAACCCTCGGCCAGGTCAGTGTGTGCCCCTGTGCTCGTCTGCATGCTTGGGGGGTGCCCTGTACGGAGTGGGGAAGCCACGTGGCCCTGGGTGTTGCGTGTGTGCGTGTGTGTGTGTGTCAGGGTATCCTGGGGTCTGTGCGGCTGTGTTTGTACCTGTGGTTATGATCTGCATGTATTTGCCTGCCTGTATTCCCAGGCTCTGCTCTGGGTATTTGTGCCACGCTGTGTGTGCCTTTGTGGAAGTGGGTCTGTACCACCGTCCCTCCTAGCCTCCTAGACAGTCACCCCTTTGTCCCAGCTGGTACTCCTGGGGCTCGCATGTCCCAGCTGGGGCCCCGGGGGGGGGGGGGCTGTGGCCTGACCCCCTGCCCCGAGGACCTGGGCGGGGGTGGCCTGTGTGATTAGGTGAGCTATCCTGTCATATCCCTTTGAGAGCAGAGGGGACAGGAAGCCCACTGGATGGGAGGAGGCTGTGAAGGAGCCCTGGGGCCAGCACAGGGGGCCATTCTTGAGCACTGCTCAACCACCCACCCGGGACTCTTCAGCAGCAGTGGGACAGGCCCAGGCAGGGGATACCAGCTGCCCAAGGTCACACACTGGAGTGATGGAGTTGGGACTTGAACCCTAGTTGTTGCCAACCACTTGGGAAGGAGCTGGGAGACCCGAATCTTGCCCTGGCCTTGCCTTGTGATTGAGGTTAAGTCTCTGTCCCTTTGTGCCTCACTACCCAAGCCCCTGGCAGACCACCCAGTTATAGGAGGAGACTCGGTGGCCCTGAACTGGGGGGGGCCTTATACGGCCTGGGTGCTGAGCCCGTAACCCAACTCTATCCTGGACCCCTGGCCTCTGTGAGGCCTCCTCACAACTGAAGTTATTTTGGACCAAGGAGGTGGCAAGTGCCAGCAGGACAGGGGTTTAGGTTACTGGGAGGGTGCAGGACAGGGTGGGGTCGAGGCCACTCCTCAGGGTGTCGCTGCAGGACACCTGGCCCGGGAGCCATCCCCCTCCCCTGCTAGCTGCTGAGGGGCACCGACAGCCCTGCTCTTCCTTAAGCACACTCAGCAGGGAGGAGGCTGTAACTCATGGGGGAGTCAGCAAAGCTGCTTGAGGACCTGGTGGGTTCCAGGCTCCGAGCCTCAGGAAACTCAGTCCTGGGTCCGACACCAGCCAGGCCCTGGAGCAAGTCTCTCCTCCTCCCCAAGCTTCGGTTTCCTTCCAGGGTGGCTGGGAGGCCCTACGCTCAGCCCAGGCCGAGCCCAGTGTGGTGAGGTAGTACCGCACAGAGGCCCGACACAGCGTGGGGCCTCAGGAGGCACCGGCCAGTGGGAGGCAGAGGCTAGAGAAGCTTCCTGAAGGAGGTGACAACTGAGCTGAGTTCTAAACAATAGCGCCGTGGGGAAAGACATCTAAGCGTCGGGTATATTATCCAAAGCCTGGAGGTGGGTGAGCGGCTCCAAGAAGGTCAAGCAGAGGCTGATAAGGCTGCAGGGGGTGGGGGGGCCAGCTACACCTTTATCTTGGGAGCAGAGGGGGCCACAGAGGGGAGGGCTTTAAGCAGGCAAGGGCACGGTCTGATACTTGTCAGAGAAAATCCTACAGATTGCCTGGTGGGGTATGGAGGATGGGAGGCCCATAGGAGGCTCGGGCAGTGGCCAGGCCCCCTGCTTGGAACAGGGAAGTGGTGCTAAGGACACAGACTGAAAAGAGATTCAGGAGCCAGAGGGCTGTGCTGTGCATGAGCAAGACAGGGTTGGGGAGAAGGGTGTTCACATGCCTGGGGCAACAGGGCGCAGAGCCGGGGGCTCAAGAGGGGCCGGGAGAGTGTGACGGCCCGCGGGACTCTGGGCCTGTCTAGGAGCTAAAGACTCACAGGGTGGGGGAGAGAGGCCTGGGCTGGCTGTGTGGGGATGGGGGGTCCTGGGAGCCTGAAACCCACTGTGAAGGTGGAGTGGGGGCCTGGGGTAGGGGTCCCAGGCAGAAGGAATGCTAGTTGAGGGTCAAGGGTCAAAGGTCAAAGGTCAAAGGTCAATGCAATACTGGCTGTGATGGTCACTGGTGGCCTTGGGGAGGGCAGGTGGGTGGGAAGTGGAGGCCAAAACTGTGTAGGTGGCAACTCTAAAGCAACTGATGGGGGGAGGGGTTGAGGGTGGTTCCTGGGGTCTATGGAATAAGACAGGGGTCCCAGGAGGGGTTGCAGTTGATTTACATGCTGAGAGGAAGGGGTCAGTGGAGCAAAGTCCTCAAGAGGGCAAGGGGTGGGGGTCTCATGGCGGGTGGAGGCAGGGCATGTGCAGGGGTGAAGGCCTGGGGTTCCCCTCGTTTGCAAATTGTGGGGCTGCGTCCACAGGAGGGTCTTGCACAGCTGCCAGCAGCGCCCTTGAGCCTCTGTGTCACGCTCAGAGGAGGAGCAGCTTCTGCCCAGTCCCCAGGGAATGTTGTCAAGGTGCCACGCACATGAGGGACCCACACACTGCTTGCTGGGACTTGCAAGGGAGCAGCTCAGCAGTTCCTGGTGTCTCTGCTTGTGCCCCTCAGCACGGCCCTCACCTTCCGACTCCTCCCACAGGACGAGGCAGACAGAGGGGCTGCTGGCTGTGACAGGGGAGGCGCCCTGCAAGCGCACGGAGGAAAGGTGACTTTCCCAAGGTCACACAGCCTCCTGGGCCACCCTGCCTCCTGAGGGCACGTCAGTGGCATACACCGAGTGGCTTGGTGGGTGCACAGACTGGGGGGCAGAGTGCCCCTCACCCACCAATGTGTGCCCTTTCTTGCAGAGTGCTGACTGGGCTCCCTGGACCTCAGCGGGATGGAAGGTACGGGTCTCCTTTCCTGCTCACGGCTTGGGCCTTGGTGGGCCCGGCTAAGGGGGTGTGCTTTGGGGAGACACTCTAGGATGGGTTGGAGGGGGCTCCGGAGCTGCCAGAGGGGGCTGTCTGGGAGCCTCAGGCATCCTCCCCTGGCCCCTCACGGGATGTGTCAGCTCCAGGGTTAATTTTAGAAGCAATGAGGTCTCCCTGAGGCTCCTGGGGGCCCCCACAGCTCACCTCCTACGCTGGTATTTATAGAGCTGAATCCCTGCCTCTTTCTGAAGAGGGTGGGTGCTGGCGAGGGGTGGCTGGCCCTGAGGAGAGGCCCCAAGTGTGCAAATGCCAAGCCTAATGAGAGGGGGCAGCTTCCTACCCCTCCCAGTAGCCCGGAGTGGGTAGGTCTCAAGGCTGTCTGCGGCCTCCTGGCTGCTAAGGTCTGGGACCTGGAGGGAGACCGGGGCAGGACAGGCAGAGAGCCTGGCTGCCCGCCCCCTGGCAGCACTATCCACCCATCGCTGGCATCGTGCCTTGGTCTGGGCAGCTCTTAAAGGGGCCCAGTGGCCTGGCTGCTGCTGCCTGAATCCAGCAATCACCCTTCATCCCCTGGCTCTGAACATTAGCTGCCACTGGGCTGTGTGGCCTGCCTCACCCCCAGGCAGAGGACGGGGGTCCACCAGAGAGGTCACTCTTCTGACAGCTCACTAGGCCTCCACGCTCATGGCTGGAAGCTCCCTGGGGGCTGCTGAGCCCACTTCCTCAGGGGCAGGGACAGAGAGCCAGAGAGGGGCGGGTGCTCCCTTCCTAAGGCCACACAGTGAGGTCCTACTTTTGTGAGAGAGGAAAGCCAGGCAGCCTGGGAAGAGGGCCTGGGTTCCAGTTCTGGTTCTGGCATCCCCGGAGCAGGCCCCTGACTCTCTAGGCCTTGGTTTCCCTGAAACGGTGGGGCTGTGGTCTTGCTGAGTTCTAAGGGCTGTGAGGCAGAGGTTGGAATGGAAGCTCGCCTCCCTGTCTGGGCAAGGGTTCCGTGTGCCCATCCCAGCCCTCCTCGGTAACTGTCTCCAGGGCAACATGTGTGGTTGCCAACTCCCCATTCTGACCTCCCAGGGAAGGCAGGAGATGGGCAGGCCCGGGGCCTGGCAGGGGAAGGATAGGGGACACAGCAGGACAGGACCATGGGGGCCTGCTGCTCAGGGGGAAGTCCCCGGAATGTGGAAGACTCTGAGGCCACAGGTGACCTGCCCCTGCATTCCAGTCCCCCACAGGGGGTCCCCTGAGGGTTGGCGTCCAGCCCTTCAGAACCACCCTTGAGGCCTGTAGCCTCCGGGCCTTCGCCTCTGCGGGTCCCTCTGCCTGCACCGCCCTCCTTCCCTGACCTGTCCCCGTCCCTGAGCCTTCCTCGCCCCACCTCCCCTCACTCTGGGCTGTGACTTGTCGGCCTCCCTGGCAGGAGCATGCGTTGTGGCCGTCCCTCCACCCAGGGCCCGGCACCAGCCCGGGACTCCGGGGCACATCTGGCGATTTGTCAAGCGACTGACCGAGCTCCTCTCTCCTTTTCTCTCCTACAGAGAAACTTAAGAAAACCAAGATCATCTTCGTGGTGGGTGAGTCCCGGGTGGGCGGTGAGGCGGCAAGCAGGAACAGGCGTCGTAGGCCCTGGGGGGCGCTCGGGCTCCACCCCCCCACTGGGTCACCCAGGCAGCCCCTGTCCCTGGTGGGGTCCCGTTTCCTGGAGCTTCTCAATGGGTGGGCACTCGCAGGCGGGCCCGGCTCGGGGAAGGGAACCCAGTGTGAGAAGATTGTCCAGAAGTACGGCTACACCCACCTTTCCACCGGGGACCTTCTGCGGGCCGAGGTCAACTCGGGCTCAGCCCGGGGCAGGATGCTGTCGGGAATCATGGAGAAGGGGCAACTGGTGCCACTGGTGAGTGGACCCGGGGGGGCTGGGCAGGGGGTGTGAGGGTAGCCATGAGTGGATACGCTGGCAAGGCTGCCGTGACTTTTCTGGGCTCTAAACCCTCCTGTGGGTCTCATTCCCCTTGGCAGAAAATTCCTTCCAGAAGCTCCCCTGAGCCTCCAGCTCCTGCCCACCAGCCCCTCCAGTTCCATGCCATCCAGTCCCCCAAGCTGGCCACCTGCCAGGTGCCCCGGCCTTCCTGTCCCCTCGAACTCCTGACCCTCCTTTCTGCCTGGAGGCTCTTTCCTCCTCAACCTTCAGGCCTTCCTGACTCCTCAGGTTTGGGCTTAGACCCCTTAATTTTATACTCCAGGAGCCCCCCTTCTTTGCTCATTCAACTGGTAATGCTTGAGCATTGATGATTGTTCCCTCACCGAGCTGTGAGCTTCCCGAGGGCAGGAAGTGTCTGCTCGTCACAGCCGTGTCCTCAGGGCCCCCGGACAGGAGCTGGCTGGGAGGAGGGGCTCAGCCCGTTAGTGAATGAATGACTGAATGAATGAATCATCATCAATCAAGTCTTCACAGTTCAGGGAAGGCTTCCTGGAGAGGGAGGCTCGTTTGTGCTGTGTTAGGGCAGAGGGCATTTTGGGCTGTGGGGCAGTGCACACAAAGGCCCAGAGGAGGGGGCGGGGGGGGCTCATGGCCCTCCCTCTGTTCCTGCACCCCCAGGACACAGTGTTGGACATGCTCCGCGATGCCATGGTGGCCAAGGTGGATTCTTCCAAGGGCTTCCTGATCGATGGCTACCCTCGGGAGGTGCAGCAGGGGGAAGAGTTTGAGTGGAAGGTAAGGCGCACCTTGGTGGGTGGCCGTTGGGAGCTGTGGTGTGGGCAGCCAGGCAAAGGATGCTGTGGTGCCAGAGTTTTGGGCAGAGAGAGAGACTGACTGCGGGGATGTGGAAGGGGTAAGGAGGGAAACTGGGGAGACTTTCCAGAAGTCTTTTTAGAAGTCTAGGAGAAAAGTCTAGAAGAAGCAGCACCAGTCTGGGGTGCTCACAAACCTGGGCTCAGGTTCCAGTTCAACCGTGTGAGGGTTTGGGCCAGTCCTTCTCCCTCTCTGGACCTCAGCGTCCTGTCCACAAAAGCAGGTTGAAGCTGCCTTCAAGAGCAGCATGGGGATCAGAGAGGATGCACCCTTCAAAAGTGGTGCTTGGTACCCTGTAAACACACAGTCAGGGGGCCAGGAACAGCATGGACAGGGCTGGAAGGGTCAGGCTGGTGTGGGGAGGACAGAATCTGTGGGACAGGGCAACTGGGGCTAACGTGGGAGAGAGAGGTTCAGGCCTGGCTGGAGGCTTCCAGTGCCAGGGAGGGGAGTCTGGCTAGAGAGAGAGGGACTTGAGGATGATGGCCCAGAACTGCCTGGAATGGGTGCCCACCAGGGTGGGGGGAGCCATTTTGCCCAAACATACACATGTACACAGGCATGTGTGCATGCACACAAAGAACATACACACATGCAGTGTATCTACATGCATATCCAGATAGTGCATGCACATGGACACAGTGCACCCACACTCGGGGATGCACACACATGTACAGTACATATGTGGACACATACACCTGTGCCTCTGGTGTCGTGGGCCATACTGGGAAAACAGATGGGGCTATATGTGCCTAGGAGGGAGAGGTCAGCAAGTGTGGGGGGCTCAAGGGGGGCTTCTTGGCAGAGGGACTTCTTCCAGGCCTCACAGGGAGGACCTGGGATCCCAGTAAGCTGGGAGTAAGACCAGACCCCAGCCTACTCCCCATCTTCTGTGAGGCTAGGGCCACCTTTGGGCTTCCGCAGCTTCCGGCCTCATCCAGAAGTAGAAGATTGTATTTCTTGAGCTGTAAGTAGCTGTAAGACCTCAAGAAACTGTCCTGCTCTAGGCCTCAGGTTCCCCGTCTGTGTCATGGAAGTTCACTGGGCTTCTTTCAGACTAGTGGGCCATCAACCCTATGGGGCACGTTCTGTCCTGGCCCCCACACACCGGCTATGTGATATCACCTCCAACTCTCAGGGCCACATCTATAAAAGAGGGTTAATGCAGGTGCCCATCCCTCCTGAGACTCTTGTGGGCGCTGCCGTGGGTGGTGGACTCAGGCAGTACCGGCTGCAGCCCAGCCACTACCTGCGGGAGTCCCGGCACCTGGTCTTCTCGACTCTGGACACTAGGGGGCGCCAGGCTCTCCCCGAAGGAGAACTCGGCAGCCCTGTTGCTTCTCGCCCTTGCCGTCATCCGCCTGGATGAAACGCTCCTTCCAGTAAGAGTGACATTGTTCAGAACCCCCCAGAGCCCAGCGGCCCCTCACCCCTTCAATCAGCCCTTGGTCCTTCATCAAATCTTTATCCAGCCCTGCGGGTATAAGCAGACGCCTCCCTGACCTCAGTGGCTCAAGGCCTGGCTTGGGGCGTACATTAAGCAAATAACCAGCAGCCCCCCTGAGCCAGTTCAGGGAGTAAAGGAGAACCGGCCGTGAGCCGGGGAGCTGGTGGGGGCACGGCATCAGGGAGGACTGCCCTGAAGAAGTGAGACTGTAGCTCACACCTGAAGGTGAACACTTGGTATGGGAGGTAAGGGTTCCTGGCAGAGGCTTCTGGCATGAGCAAAGGCCTGGCATGGGAGCAGGTGGATGAGAACGGAGGCCACAGGCAGGCAGTGCAGCTGAAGGGAGGAGAGGGAAGGGGTAGGAAGCAGGAGATGAGGAGGGAGAGAGGTCAGGGCTCTAGTAGGTTGAAGAGGAGTTTGGACAGTCTCCTGAGAGCCCTAGGGAGCTATGGAAGAGGTTTGAGCAAGTGGGAAGACAGACTGTTTTTAGGAAGGTCCCTCAGGCTGCCTTGGAGAAGGGCTTGAAGATCTGAGTGGGTCTCAAGTCGGGGCCACAGAAGTGGGAAGATGGGGAGCAGATGTGACTAGTGCCCGGCCTGCAGATCGGACAGCCCACGCTGCTGCTGTATGTGGACGCAGGCCCCGAGACCATGACCCAGCGGCTCCTGAAGCGCGGAGAGACCAGCGGGCGTGTGGACGACAACGAGGAGACCATCAAAAAGCGGCTGGAGACCTACTACAAGGCCACAGAGCCGGTCATTGCCTTCTACGAGAAACGAGGCATCGTTCGCAAGGTGTGCTCCTGGGGATTGCGGGGGGCCCTGGCACAGCCTCGCGCTGCTGGGACCTGGGGCCAGTTCTCTCCTCCAGGCCTTGGTTTCCCCACTGGCTCTATAGTGAGCCAGGCCTGGGCTCAGGAGAGGTCAGCCCTTGCGTCTGCAGCGTCCGTGCAGCCCTTCCCAGCTTCTCCACCTTCATGTCCTTCTCCCGGCAGGTCAATGCCGAAGGCTCCGTGGACAGCGTCTTTGCCCAAGTCTGTACTCACCTGGATGCCCTCAAGTAGTAATGCTGGAGCCCTTCCCCAGCTCAGAGACCGCCCCACCCTGTCCTGACTCAAGGCTGTCCTGGCCTGGGCTCAGCGCCTCCACCCTGCGGGGCTGGAGCGCAGACAGAGGAAGCCACGTTATCCTGTTTGCACGGACAGCTGAGCACTAAAGGCATTTCCAAGGACATTTGGTTTTACTCCTTATTCTTCGCTTCCATGGAGTCAGTTCACGAATGGCCACCTCAGCCTTGAGTCCCAGCCCCTCACCCTCCCTCACTCCTCCTCAGGCCCCTCAGCCCACCTTGGCCCGCCATGCCTGCCCATGGCTCTGGTGGAAGCCCCCCAGGGCCCTTCCTCACACTGGCCATTCTGGGTCGGGCTGTGCCAGGCCTGGGGGCCCAGGGTGACTGAGGCAGTGTCCGTGCTCCTGGGGACTTGTGGTCAGGCAGAAGTGAGCTCAGAGCTGCATCCTTGCTGCATGGCCTTGGCCCTGACCCCCTCATCTCTCTGTGGAGGACTCCTGGATAACGGGGATGGCACCTGTCAGCCAGCTGAGTGGGCAGTGAATTGGCCTCCCTGGTGCAGGAAGCTCTGAGGATCTGGAAAGTTCATCAAGATAGAATGGGGAGGTCATGGTCAAGTATGCCTCCCTGGGGACATGAGACTTGAGGGACTTCCCACCATGTGACCCTAGGAGGTCCCAACCTGCCCATTCTGAGCCCATTTCCAAATCTGAATTAGGCTTGGTGCCCTCCACCCACCCTCAAGTTTAGAAGGAGAACAGCTGGACCAGGGCCTGTGGGAACTGGAGACCAGAGCAGCCTGGGGGATATGCAGTGCTGGGGTGCTCTGGGGATGCCCCAGAATCCCCCTGGGAGAACCATCTGCCCTTCTCTGTTCTGACCTCATCACTGAGAGAGGCTCAACTTGGTGCTCACGTGTCCTCGACACCCGTTCCAGCCCTTGCTGACTCCCTTTATAGCCAAGAGAACCTTCAGCGGCCCCACCTGTGGGAAGGAAACCCCGTGTGGGGCTGATTCTGTCTGTTGTGTGTCCCCTTCTATCAATGGCAAGTGCTGCTGGCTTTCCATTTACATTGGTTATTTAAACTTTCCTTTCAAATAAACATATTTAAGTTATAAAAGATGAGTCTATTGAAAGAACATGAAATAAACAAGTGGCAGTACAGGGGAGGCATAGGAGAAAGCAGGCGCCTTGTGGTGTATGTGGGGTGCCGGGCAAAGGCCTCTGCCAGTCTCCCTGTTCCCCACGCCAACTGGGGCATTCAGGGAAGCCCCCACTCACTCTGTGGCCTCCCACCTCGGGGTCTCCATGTTGCCTCTGTCAAATGGGCTGACACACAGCCACACATGCAGGCACATACGTGCACACACACGCCTTCTAGCTTGGGCTTGTCAGGCTCAGTGTGAGGGTGAGTGAGAAAACACACCAAAGATGATAAAGAGCTAGAGAGACCCACTGGAAAAATCATCATTATCTTTATTTGTATAATTATAGCTTCATTAATTCAGTATCCCAATTTATGAAAACCTAAGCTGACCCAAACTATTCACCACAGATTCACTTAATTCGCTTAAAAAAAAGACCTTGAAAACAAAATACAAAAAAAGTTTGAAAACTACAGTAACCACCACCCCATCCTTGCCACCACTAAACCCTCCTTTGAGGGTTTCCTTCATGTGCGTCTGTTCATTTGGCAATTTTCCCGAGTGCCCGCCATGATGGCAAGACAGGCCCCTAAGCCCTGGGTCTGCTGTGATGCAGCCGTCAGGACGAGGAGGGGACTGGTGCGCACAAAACCAGGACCGATGCTGGGGACCTCAGTGCACAGAACTTAGAGGGGTCCCTGCTGGTGGGAGGCGCACCAGGAGACAGAGGGCATGGAAAGCCAGTGGGAACAGCTCTGCAGAAAAGGAGAGAACTTGCTGGGTGTGGGGAAGCCTGAGGCGAGTGGGGGCTAGAATGCAGGCTAGAGAAGGTGCAGTAGCAAGAGACAAGCCAGTGGTCAGTATGGGCCAGACCTGCAGAGCCTTGAATGCCGACCCAAGAACGTAGTCTTTCCTATAAGGTCAATAGGAAGCTCAGAAAGAGTTTTGTTTTTAATGAAAGATTTCAAACAAACTAAAATTGTGGGAAACAATATAACAAACGCCCATTTGCCCATCACCAACACTCAGTAATTGTTAACATTTTCCCATACTTCCTTCATTGTTGTTTTATTTGCCAAAGTATTTAAAGTAAATTACATATATGGAAAAATTTCACCCCTCAAGTATGACTTCAGTATGACTATAAAAATAAGGACATGTTCCTATATAACAACAACTCAAAGTTTCAATAATGCTAAATTAACACTAATATTGTAATAGATAATAACCAGTTGACATGCAACTCTCCCTAATTGTCCCCAAAATGTAACTTTGTGCAAACCAGGATGCAGTTCAAATGCCATATTTGATTGTGATCCCTCAAACCTCTTTCAGTATAGAATGGCTGTCCTATTCTTCATGACATCGGCCTGTGAAAGGACCAGTCATTCTGCAGAAAATTCCTCCTGCTAGATTTGTCTGCTCCTTCTTCTTGGTGTCATTTAACTTGTTCCTCCATTCCCTCGATTTCCTGTAAACTGAAAGTTAGTTAGTTGTAAAGGCTTCGTAGATTTAGGTTAAGCCTGGGGGAAAGAATACCTACTGAGTGAGACTCATGAAGGGTTTAAAATTTGGCAGGTTGGCAAGATCTGCAGGCTTCTAGCTTTAATGTGCACGTGAATCTCCGGGGGTCTTGTTACAAAGCTGATTTTGATTCAGCAGCTCTGGTTTGGGCCCTGGCTGCTGATCTGAGGCCCACACTTTGAGTGGCTCCGAGAGAATCTGCTCTGTGGAGGCAGGAGCCTGAGCTGGGGGTGGGGAGGAGGGGGCAGGGAGGAGCAGGCATCTCCAGGGTCGGAGTGTGCACATACATGAGTGGTGGGCTGCCAGGTGGGCATGGAGTCGGATCTGAGACAGTAGATGCCACCGCACTCTTCACATCTCTAGGGGACGCTCCAGCTAACAGCTCATCCCAAGGTGCCGGAACATTCTAACCAGCAGAGGGAGAGTACACTGCGTCTGTAACCTCAGAGAGAGAGTGCTCCCGGGCAGGCCCCCCTGGGGTGGTGGCCTCAGATGCCCCCCCTGGACTGCCCCCCTAAGTCTTGGCCTCAGGGGCTCTGAGGGCCTGGCCGGAGGCGGTGAAGTGGGAGAGGAAGGAAGCAGGGAGCAGAGGAGGCCAAGGCTGTCGCCTCCCAGCCGTGAGAGGGGCCTCGAGTAAACAGGAAGGCCTGGCGGCTCCACGGTTGGGGGGGCTTTAGAGGGGTGGGGGACAGAGCCCTGCTGGACATGCGCAGCCTGCAAGCACAGGGCTTCCTCGCTGGGGAAGCTGACCCAGAGAAGTTGTGTGGCTTGCTCCAGGTCACACAGCAAGGCGGGGCACAGGGCTAGCCCCATGCCTATCTCTCCTGCTTCTGCCCCCTCCCTAGGGTTCTTGTGCAGGGTCTCCTGCCTGTGTTGCCCACCAGGGTTCACGGGGTGCTGGGTGAGTCTTGCCCCTTCTTGAGTCTCAGTTTCCCTTTCTGTGAACTCAGAACCCTACAACTCAGAGGTCCTAGACTCCTGGCCCAGTGGAATCCTTCTGCCTCTTGGTGGTCCTCCTGGGTGCTTCTGATCTTGGGGAAGTGGTTACCAGGAAGGCCAGCATTCCAGGAAGCCGCAAGTACCAGGAACCTTCCCTAGGGAAAGAGATGAAGACTTCGAGGGACTTTGATCTTGTAGAAAACAGCAGAGTCCGGCGGGACCACTGACACTTGTGATCACCCCTGGGGAGTCATTCCCCCTCTTTGGAGACTCTGTCTCTGGGCTCAGAAAGTCCCCAGCACCCGCACCCTGGGGACTAGGAATCACAGCCTATGAAGCCTCGGGCTGTGAGAGGCCCATTATATGCTCCATCAGTACTTATCAAACGCCACCACAGGCCGGGCACTGTGCTAAGTGGCGGTGATTCAGCAGCAAGCAAAGCGAGGCCCTTGCCCTCACGGAACTTCCGTTCTGGACAGACAGACAAAATAAACAATATAGAGTGTGTCAAATAGTGACACATGCCCCAGGAGCCAATTGCTGGTTCAGGGAGTCTATTTTAAAAGCCATGGTCAGGGAAAAGCCTCACTGATCATAAGACATTTGCTCTTCATCTTAAAAGGGTGAGAAACAAGTCTTGTGGTTATTTAGGGGGAGCGTTTCAGAGAGAGGGAAGAGCAAGTGCAAAGGCCCTGAGGTGGGCATGTGCTTGGCACACCAAGGAACAGTGAGGAGGCCATGGTGGCTGGGGTGGAGTGAGCAAGGGAGAGAAGAGCCCAACAGGCTGGAGGGTGGGTAGGGAGTCTCGCCGGCCGTTTGAGGGTCTCTGGCTTTTATACCGAGTGAGATGGTTGGTTCCCTTGGAGGTCACAGGGCAGAGGAGGGAGGGAACTTAGCTTAACAAGCTCCTTTTACACTGGGCAGGATGGGCAGGCAGCAAGGGTAGAAGCAAGGGACCTCAGTGAGGAGGGGACTGCAATAGTCCAGCAGGTGCTGGAGTGACCCGGTGGTGGCTGTGGGGTGGGGGAACCCCACAAACACCGGGCATTTGGGGAAGCAGCTAACAGGATTTGCCTGTAGGTTGGACCAGGGGTGTGAGGAAGAGTCAACATCAACCTCAAGGCTCAAGCAATGAGAGGAGGGAGTTACCACAACTTGCGATGGAGAGACCGAGGCAGGAGCAGGTGGCATTGAATGAATGGAACCCGGCCTTGGACATGTGAGGTCTGAGCTGCTTATCTGACATCCGGGAGCCTGGGGGAGAGCTCTGGCTGGAGATAAGAAGTTGAGGACCCTCAGTATATGACGTATTTAAAGTGTGTTGTCTGGATGAACAACCTGAACCAAAACAGCACTTCTCTCAAATTGTAATGTGCATACAAGGCCCTGGGGATCTTGATAAAATGCAGGCTCTGATTCAGCAGGTCTAGGGCAGGGTCTGAGAAGCTCGCAGGAGGTGCTAGACCACCCTTGGAGCAGCAAAGATCTAGAACACCATATTTTACGGCTAAGACCCATTGGTGGGTCACAAAATCAACAGAGTGGATTGTGAT